GCAAAATTAATGAAAGTTCCAAATAATATTGGCAGAATCTCATATAAAATTGCTACAGGATATAGATTTTCAGGGTTTACAGCAGACCAGTAGCGGATATTTATTTTAGTTTATGCTACTTCTATTACGTGGAATTTGCTTAAAGAATCTGATAGAAAGATTCTTGCAAATTTTGTTCGTGCATGCAATATACTTGTATATAGGATAATATCTAAGAGTGAATTAGAAGAGGTTTATCAATAGCCTAAAACAATGGTGATTCTTATAGAATAAGAATATGGATCAGAAAAAATTATGCCTAATTTGCACTTATGTCTACACATTTGTGAATGTACATTCGACTATAGTCTGTTATATGCTTTTTGGTGCTTTAGTTTCAAACGTATAAATGGTTTGTTAAGTAATTATGATTCCTTATGATCTTGTCAAATTATTAATCTAAAGATATGTATTAAATATTTTATATTTATAGGTTCATACTATAGCAGTAATAGAAAAATCGAACCAGAATTATTAAAAATTATTCAATATAACTCTCTTATCAATCAGTATTCTACAAATGTTCAGGATCATAACTATTTATTAGCTTATTATCTCTAATAGCACTGAAAGAAGCTATTAGAAGTCTAGCGGTTTTTGATGAGTTCAATGAAATGAATTACTGGGAATTTTTATCAATGTCTATAAATGTGAAAGAGATGGCTAAGTTGGGATCAGAGTTTTTCCTAGGCTCTTTTCTTAATCCAAAAGAAATAAATACAAACCTTCCGAAAGAAGTATTAAATTTGTTGGTTGAATATTATTGCAATGTGTATGATAAAAATTTTGCATTATTGTCTGATATTCATACTGCACCATCTGATACTATACCGGTATTATCAAGAGTAAATATCTATGGATAGTTACTACTCAGATCTGAAATTTTCAGATTATCATACTCTAAAAGACATATAAAATCAGCCAAGATATTATCACAATTTACTTATGGGGATACAAAGGATACTTATCCTGGCCTTGTTCAATTTTATTTTGAGCATACAATATATCTTCCTAAATCTAAAATATACTCTTTGGCATTTGTTAGGTGGTATCTTCTAGTAAACGATCACAAGATTAGATTTCATTGCAAAATTAACAATGATGATGCTTCTTGTAATATAGCACTATGGGAAAAGAAATTTTTGAACTTAGCAGGAACTGTATTATTCTAATATATAGTATATTAGGTCAGTTTGTAGAAGGTTCATTTTCAATTGGCAAAAAGAAAACCTGGCAATACATGTCAGTAATACTGATAAATAGAAAAATTGATATTTAGAATTTATGATGCAACGCAATCACTGTGTATATTATGAATATTAATAAATAAATATATAACTTTTTGCAATCATAAAGTATTAAATTTCCTTAAAACATTTATTTTAATATAAGTAGTTTATTGGATATTATTGATATGAGAATCGGAAACTTTGATGATTGACCGATGCTTTAATGATAAAATTAATAAATGATCGGAAAATAATTGGGAAACTGATTTGTTGTTTATTATTATATAATGCACTTTAAAAAATTTATAGAATCTTAAGGTATCTTATAAGTTAAAATTCATAAAAGTATTGGATACTGATTCTTTAATGATAAAAAAAAGAAGAGTTGGTAAAGAATCAAATCTGATGTAATCCTGATTCTTCACCGGTTCTTCATATCCTGATTCTTCATCATTCGACTTGTGATTATTTAAAGATATATTAGAAATTAGCTGATTTGATAAAGGGTTAACAGATTCAGACTTCAGAATAGGTCTTTTAATCATATAATATGCTTTTATTAATTAGTTTCTTATATATTATTTATATTATATTTAGTATATATATTAATTAAAATTTATTATAATATAAGTTCAGTAATTAATTTGCATTTATTATAATATAACATCAGCAAATTTCAAATTTTATTTCATTTTATATAACCAAATTACATATATGTATTTATCAAATTTGAAATGAAAATTCAAAAAAAAATTATTTCATAAAATTCTTGTAAAAACCAAAAATTATTTTGTAATAATATATATCACTTATCTATTCCTTATTTGATTAAACTGTATGAAAATCTTGTACTGTTTCTTATTATAAAACTCTTTAAAATATATTTTTTGCTTTATTAAAGTTTGTATTTATTAATATAATAAATACATATTTTATTTCTTTTTCATTTTGTTCTAATTTTATTTAATCTCTTGGCAGTATGTTTATTAAGAAATTTATATTTTATTTATATTCATTTATATATTTAAAAGTTAAAAAATATTTGTCACATTTGTCACATATATTACAACATAAATGTTGGTATAGCTTATGTAAATTTGAAAGGTAACAATAATTAAATTTTTAGCTTTTAAGTTATTATAATATTTATGATCTTTACACTTTTTTATATTATGATGATAAATTTGTATATGATCATTTATTATTTTCATGATACTAAAGATTTAGAATTAGTAAAAGGAATTTTTTCTGGCCAATATATTTTAATATTACAGGCTTTCCATATATATCATCCTATTTTCATATATCCCAAAGTATATTTTCTGAATATTTAAAATTTCTTTATACTAATTCTTCATTAACTACATTGCCTTGACTATTTAGATATAACCAAATTTCTCTATAGGTAAAGTGATGCTAGCAAGTTTTACAAATAAAGAAGTCATACTTTATTCTACTAGATTATATGTACTTTAACCTAAAACATGAGTATGAACAGTTAAGTAATCAAAATCAATAATGAGTATATTGAATAATATTATTCATATATTTAGGATTTTCATCAGGTCTATCATCAATAAGGATCCAAATAGGTTTAACTTGGTTATTTTTTTTTTTAATAATAGCGAAAATTTCTTTGTTAAAAACAATATTTTGTAAACCTTATATATGGTTTCTAATAATATTCTAATAAAGTATTCCAGTTTAATAAAAGGTATAAGTTTCATCTTTGAACCAATTAAAAATCATGATTCATTAACTGTTTGAATTGTTTTAAAATACACCAACTGCAAACTTCAGTAAATATTTTATTAGCATTAACAGAAGCTAAACAGTATATGAGATTTCATTTCTATCCTTGCTACAGTAAAAGTCTAACTATAGTGATGGCAACATGCATAAAATGTATTTTGATAATAGGGTTGAAGATAAGTTGACAGACATTGGCAGGATATTTAATCTAGATCTCTGGAAACTTCAAGTTAAAGCACGAAAGGGATTCAATGTATAAAGTTTTATCAATGAGCATTTAGGTTGGTCAAAAAAAAATTATAATAAAAAATAAGTTTTTTATTGCATTGTTGAATGTTAGCATAGTTTATTTTATTTTATTTTTTTATTAGAATTTACTAGAAATATCAAATCAATTCATTTATAGCAGAGCAATTCTAATTTCTGTAAAAAAAATACAATACAGATTAACTAAGAGCTATATTCACATACGTTAAAAAAGCAATAAATTCGATTATAATAAGAATCTACATTTCGGGTTTCATGAGATAAAGTTTGTGAACTAATTAATACAACAAACCAGAAGTATTTCTCGAATCCAAATAAAGATATGTAAATGCTTATTTATGACATACCTCAATACGGAGTGCTGTTGGAGATGTATGTTCCGACGAGAATTTACGCAATTAAAATATATTTAATTCGGCAATGGTGACTTAATGAGTTTACAAGTTAATGCCCAATTTTTCATTCAGGATTCCTGAAGGGCTTTTTACTAAGGTTAATGTCGTTACCTGTTCATTTATTTCTGATTAACTGATTTTCTATCCACCGAAGACGCGTCGGTTGACACGGTTGACACGAATAACATGATTCGATGGAAAAAATTTTCAAACGTAAACGCTGTTTCCAAACTAGAAAAAACGAAAGAAATTAATATCTATTCTAAGACAAAAATATGTCTACTGATAATTCGATAGAATGGATAGAAAATTATATAAAGGAAAAGCACATAATATTACGAATATGATAAATCTAACCTTAATTTTTTTGCGAATCAATAAATACATAAAATCTACTACTAATTCGAATCTATGATAAGTCGGGCCACATTTTTTATGTTGTGGCGGGACCTAAAAATCATATTTGGCATATAAAAGTAAAATTAAATTTTCCCGGCAGTTTCCCCCCTTTCTATTGCAAAGGCCCCATATAGGTTAGTTATTCAACACATGAACCGGTGACCCGTTATAGTTATAAAAATTCTAAAAAAAAAAAAATTATCGTTATGTATTACAAATAAGCTAATCTCTTCTAATTTTTAAATCATATTACGGATATTTCTATATACCATGAATAAATTGTCGCTGTTTTTGATATAATAGGAGAGGAAAATGATGCCTAATCACCAAAAACAAACATCATCATCAATAAATTCTGTTTATTAGAGCATCAATTGAATTTCTTGGAAAAAAAATATCTAAATTCGTGCTATACAATTTTTTTTTGTAGAGAACGTGGTTGGATCTCGTGTCGGCACTTATTTATAACAAAAACGTGTTCCGTTTTATTGATCCAACAACGTTCCGAAAACCACCAATAATTACTCAAATAACTCTGGGTTATTAATAATATCCTATTTTTACACGAATAACATTGTGACTTATGATACCCTAAATCGAGAACAAATGCTTAAGTATCCTTCGCCTTCCGCCAAGTAGTTTTGCTTTCAGGTGTGTACTATAGCGGTGAAAAATATAATTCAAGTTCAATAAAGTATAATAAAGTATAAAAGAATTAACAATTACGAGCGAAAGATATAAGGAATCTTTAGTTAAAATTACATATTCGTTTGATGGACTTGTAAATTTGATTAACTGATGTCAAATTATTGATTTTCTGACGAAATCAGCATATCTTGACATGACTTAATTAATGACTAGGTGAATTACAAAAGAATATAAGTGAAAGTTTTAATAATAACCATTTTTAACATTAATCTCAATCGGCAAAAGTTACCTTCAGTTCCATCATAGCACCTTCTTTACCAAAACCTTTTGGAATTCTACCATATTCCAAATCACTTAATTCATCATTGGCACTGTTTTCAGAATTTCAATGAAAAAAAAAGTAGATTTAATATTGATATTAAATAGATTAGGAAAGAAGGTTTAGAAAAATGAGAAAAGGAATGTTATGATAGATACCTCTTTATTTTTTCAAACGATCTTTTACAATGCTCATTGAATATGATGATTTTACGTGACATCTTCTTTTCAGCCACAGTTAAAACATCAATAGCTTGTTCCAATGTTAGTCGATTATCGTCAACCTTTATACGGTATTATTTAAAATCGAGGGAAATGTTCTATTAATGCATTTTTAAAATACATCCAATGATTAATGCCCTTACCTCTTCATACATTTCATCCACATCCACATCTTCATCATCATCAACAACTTGGGCACTATCAAGGTTTTCCAAATGTTCGGATTTTTTACATTCCTCGACGATATTTTCCCTAATGGTTTCTCTAATTCTGTTACGTTCCAATTGAAATTCTCTATATAAGGTCTTGATAAGAGGATTGTCTCTGTAAATATAATTAAAGTTTCGAATTGACTTGAGTAACAAAACAAGCCTTTGGAAAGGTTGACAATTATACGAACTTTATTCACCTGTAGGTTGCAGGAAAAAGGTTAGTGAACTGTCTGAGGGTCAGGTTGTCTGCGAGCTCACTGTTGAATAAAAAGGAATTGAGAACCGACTCTTCAGTGTCCATACTAATTGATGTAGACTGAATCTCTGTTGACTGAAGTTCAAATACAATATTTTAACAGATGAAAAACGCGACCCTTATTTTTGAGATGTTGGTGTAACGTTCAAACGGTGCAACTCAAAAATTAACGTTTTTTTTTTTTTATTTATTTAACAATTAAAATCGAATCATTAAAGAGCACTATTGAAGATTCTATCTAAAATGATATAAAATGATAAATTTGTAAAAAATTTAAATATATACTTATAATTTTTTTTTTGTTCAAATACTCACCATAAATACTATAACTATAACTGTATGACTTCACATAGTGATAAGTCACCAATTTTAATTGCTCCTTTATCAATACAATCAAGTTCTTTTTAAAATATTTAAATCCCTTATTTTTACAAATGTGATTCTCATTTCTATTATTTCTTCTACAATATTATTCAGGATTAAATCTACAGCAATCCATCCCATAAATGCCTTTTTTATATTTAACTAATTTTAAGCATTTTACCTCTTGAGAATATTTTACAACGGTATGCACATAATCAATATCATGTAAATGAAAACAATTTAATTCTAAGATTTGTATTTGAGCCTTGCATTCTATTAAAAAGAAGTTTAGTTAAAAAAATTGATTCCCAAGTAATTTAAAGAATGTGGTCAATCCATTCTGTATCTCCAAGGTAAAATGTTTCAAGTAATTTTGATGAATCAATCAGTTGAAAAAAACTCGAAATATAAAATGAATTTAAATAAGATATATTTGGACAATGCTCCCTCATGATATCTATAATATACGTGAGTCATTTTAAGAAATGTTTTAAAGAAATTTTCATTCCCAACGATGTTTTTATGATAAAAATGTTTCACGGAAATTTGAGAATGTTTGTCAAGATAAAATTGTTGGGAAAGATTTAGATTGGTGAAAATGAAGTCCTCTCTCCAACGTTTCCAATTTATTAAGATTTGAATTAAAAGGGAATAATCATTCATGATTTTAAATCCAAGAAAGGTTAAAGAATTCTCGTGACTTTTTATCGCTTTAAAGATGGCCTCTTTCTTAAAATTAATGCAATGTTCATTTATCACCAAACTTTTTAATTCAATCATTGATTGAATTAAATAAGGAATGTCAAAATTCTTTTGTAAATGATCATGATCTCTTTATGTCTTTATGAATAAATGTCGAACATTCCTTAATAAACTTGAGATGTTCGGTGAGTGAATTATGAAGGAGAGAAATCGCGCATTGAAATTCCAATTTTTGAATATTTGAAAAAACTTTGGGTAAATTTTTATTACAAGAAATAATTTTTTGAAGAGTATTATTATATTCACTTATTATCTTTGGAGTGATATCTTTTAAAAAGGCTTGTGAATTTTTTCCGAGTTAAAAGATCGTATGTATTGTGGATAATCGAAAAGAGATGGTGGTGATTGGGAAAGGAAATAAAATTTAATATTACTTATTTGTAATCGTTCTTTATCATTCTCGAAAGGTAAGATATGAGGAGGATGTTTCCTTTTTGATTTGGAAGTTCAAATGGGTTATACCATAAGAATGGTATCGCCATACGACAATCGATTCACTTGAATGCATGAATAAAGTGTGATGATCATATTTTAAATAAAAGATTTCCTTTAAACAATCCGGAAATCGTTTTAATCGATTTTTTTGAGGATTTGAGCTATTTTTGATAAGCAACTTTTGTTTATGCCGTGTTTAAATTGTTGTAACTGAAATTGATTTTCGTCTGAAGTTCCGAAGATCAGTTAACTGATACTTTTCAGACAACATATAAAATCAATTTTAACCCCAAATTTTTTTTTTTAACCAGTTACAGTAATTGTTGACAAATTCTTTTACAAACTTTTTTTTTTAAAACATCTTTAACATTTATTTAATTTCATCTTACTTTTAAATTCTAATAAAGTTATTGTATAAAAAATAATTTTTAAATTTAAACCATTTTTTGTAACTTCAAATTAGTTTTAATTTTTTTATCTATTCAGTCACTTCAAAGAGTAATTTAAACACTTTGATCAAATAAAATCGACTTTGAAAGCCTAAGTAAAGTTATTCAATAGGTTTGAAAATAGGTGAATATAAAATTTCATTAAAATTGGATTAATAGTTATAGAGTTATAAGTGTTTTTTATAATTGTATTATTTTTTATCTATTCAATTATTTCAAAGGTCAATTTAAAAACTTTGATTAAAGGTAATCGACTTTAGTATAGTTTCCTATTTAACAGATTTGAAAATAGGTACATATAAATTTATAATTAGTTTAATATTTGTATAGTTATGATTGTTTATTATAATTATATTATCTTATGAAATTTTTTAATTTTTTTTATCTGTTTAGCATATTGGTCAAAGTAAGTCAACTTTGAAAGACTAAATAAAGTTGTTTAGCGGATTTGAAAATAGGTGAATATAAATTTTCATTATATAATTATGAATGTTTTTTGTAATTGTTTTATTTTTTATCCATTCAATTATTTCAAAGGTTAATTTAAGAACTTTGATCAAAGGTATTCGATTTTAGTATCCTAAGTAAAGTTGTTCAGCAGATTCGAAAATAGATGCATATAAATTTTTATTATGATTGGATTAATAGTTGTATATTATATTATTTTATAAAATATTTTTAATTTTTTTTATCCATTTAATATATTAGTCAAAAAAGTCAACCTTGAAAGCCTAAATAAAGTTATTCAGCAGATTCGAAAATAGGTGAATATAAATTTTCATTATGATTATATTAATAGTTATATTATTATAAACATTTTCATAATTATATTATCTCATAAATTTTATTTTAATTATTTTAAGGTATATTGCAAATACAATTATAAATTTTACAAAATTTTTAAAAATTGAATCAAAAAAGAAATTCAATGCCAATTAAAAAAAATAATTAAATTTATTTAAACTATCATTTATTCATATTTAAATAATCTAATAATATTACTTATTATATAATTTATTTTTAAATACATAATGTTTTAAA